GTGTCAGGCAGACATAGCGCTTTTATTATATAGGGGCATAGGGGGATAGGGGGATAGATGAGACCCTTTGAAGGGAGCTCCTGGCGACAGAAGCGGCACGACGAAGTTACTTTCAAGCTCAGCGAGTGCGCGTGTCAACAGATTTAGGCTGTCATCGGGAGGATCTCTCCATGGGGCGACTCATCAAGAGTCGACTTCGGCTCCGGCTCCGAAGGTCGCCGTGGTCAGAAAAGCCCGGTCGCGATCGAGTCCGGTACAGTGAGATCTGAATTCCATCATGATGACGAAATCATGCGATATTCTTACTTCACTGCTGCACGGGAACGCGAAACTCAGCAATTCCGGCGTGTCTTCCTCAAAAACGTGTACCGCCATGCTTGTAACATGGATGAGAGGCTCCGCTTTCTGCGACATTCGAAGATTGTCAAGGCCTCCATTGCACAACCCTCGGCTGATCTTCCCCCGATGGGGACACAAATGTAATTTCAAGAAGCTAAACTCAGCTCAAACTTATCATAACTTATGATTACTTATCACATCGACGTCCCCTTCACGTCAAAAGTAAGGCTCAAACTTAACCGCGTTCCCTGGATGATGACGACCACGCGCTATATGTCGAACTGAAGACCAACAACATTCACCAATCGTCGTATCTTAGCGGATTCGTCGAGTAAGCCGCAGTGAGGGTCCGAAAAGACTTCCTACTCCGGCAGCCCAAGGACTTAAAGGGTAGATAGGTGTGGCTTTCGATTCTAGATTCGTGAAGCGGAAAAACTTCCGAAACTCGATAGCTAGCGCGGTTTTCGATGATTATGCCGACGGGATTTGGAAGAGGTATCGATGCCTTCGAACCACGGAAACCATCTCTCGTAGAATGATTGAATATCGCAGCCCCGTCGGGCAATCAGTGGGCTCTAACCGAGCTTTCATGAAAACTCACCCAATTCCATCCTTCAGAGGGCCGATAGAGGGATAGGTCTATTTGCCATGATTTGACACCTCGGCAAGCCGACCGCTTGCCGGAAAAATCGTCATTAAACGCTTTCACGTGAATCTACGGTAATGTCATTGACATTACCTAGCTTCTTGCTTCTTTGAATCGTTGTCATGGCCCGCACGAAGTTGCGGTTCTACTCATAGATAAGCAGTGTATTCTGTCTGTGGAATCGGAGTGTCATCGATTGAGCAGTTCAGCTTAAGCTTGAGTATCGAGTATCTATTCCGAGTACCAAACAAAGATCAATCCCGATACGAGGAAGAATGAGTCGCAGATGAGAACCTCCATCAGGTATACTCGCCTATTTCTGCAAGGCTCACCGGAACATTGACGTGTATCGAAGGAGTACTCTACGGAGCTCACCTTCGTACAAACGACGCACTGTGCTTGGTCGGAACTTTTCCCGAACCAGTTCCAAACCCAGCTCTTGGGCTCATTGGTGTATGACGATCGGTTCATTCTTGAAATGATAGATTCTCGAAAAGTTTACAGTTCTGTGACGACCTCAAATCAGTCTAATCATACCACGATCCTCTGTGTCAGCCTGAGTCGCGTACGTGCATGTTTATACGTCGATCGGATCTCCATTCCGGAGGAAAGAGTACCCCCATCCGGGATACCTGTCTCTCTGGAACTCGCGCGGCTCGACGGTTTATTTACGGATGCGAGACCATTGGAAGAGGGCACTTGCTCCCGAGAGAGCCCTTCTCCAATGAAAACGGGCATTGAAACATCGAATTTCTCGGTGGACTGATAATTCTGGAACCGTTCTATCGCCTCCCGCTGGAATTTAGCGGCATCTACCCTGCGGTTCCAGAACCGCGTTTGTGGTGCGGTCCCGCGGTTCCGGAACCGCTGCAAAGCCACAGCCAAGGACAGTTTGGAACTCGTTTCCGGGGAACTCAGCATGGTATATGATCTGAGGCTTTTTTTCGATTCCTCGAATGCTTGCAAGGACTCATCAGTCCACTCGAGTTTCTTCCTGTTCGTGAGGGCATAAAGTGGGATCAATATCTCAGCGACGTTTTTAACGAAGCGCCGATAGAAGTTAAGCATACCGAGGTATCGTTGGAGCTGCTTGACCGACATGGGCAACGGAAACTTGCAGATGGCCTCGAAGCGGTCTTCAAGTGGAGATATTCCTTCTGGGGACACATTATGGCCCAGGAACTTCAACTCGGGAACGGCGAATTTGCACTTATTGATGTTGATGACTAGCCCATACTCATCCAAACAGGAGAACAACCGCCGAAGGTGCTGAATGTGTTCCTTTTCGTTGCGGGACGCTATCAGGATATCGTCGATGTAGACGAAAGCGAACTCCAGGTCCCTTGTAAGTAGGTCCATGAATCGTTGAAACGTTTGAGCTGAGTTGCGGAGACCGAAGGGCATTTTGATGAATTCGTACAGGCCAAAGGGTGTTCTTATAGCCATTTGTGTATGTCCTCCTCGGCGACCGGCATTTGATGAAATGCTTTGACTAGGTCGAGGGAGCTGAAGATCTTACAACCTTCTAGCTTGTACGCAAAGTTCTCCAAGTGCGGGACAGGGTATCTGTCGGGGACTGTGCCGGCATTCCATGCTCTGAAATCACCTACGGCCCTCCATGAGTCGTCGCTCTTCGGAACCATAGGTAACGGTGATGCGAATGCGCTTTTCGAACGTCGAACTACTCCGTGTTTTCCCATCTGGTCGAAATGTTCCTTGGCGATGTTGAACTTCCTGGGGTCTAGTCTTCGAACACGGCACGTGACTGGTCGTCCTTTGGTTTCGATGTGATGATAAATCAATGATTGTTGTCTTCCCTCACTTGTAGCTTTGCCCGTGATGCCGGGGAATGCCCTGAGAACGGTTTCGATGTTGTCCGGAATCGGGTATTTCACCAGGCTGATACCGATTGCTGGGTGTCGAGCTATTTGGCATTCACTAGTGCGTGGTGAGTTCAAGTCAATCAGACGCCGCGCGCGGAGGTCTGGCGCTAGGTTGTATGGGATAGGAGATCCGCGCCGATGATGGGTTGCTAAACGTCCGTCAGAACGAAAGTGAATTCGATCGGTTTTCCCAGCCCGAGATCGAGGATGCAAGTCCTCTCTCCAAACGTCTTGATTGGTGTGATGTTCGCTGCATACAATTGTGTCGCATTCGGCGTCAGGGCGCTCGAGGGAGAATGCGGCATGCTGGATATATCGCTTCCTGAATCAATGAGGAATTTGCGGCGTGTAAATTTGTCGATGACGAAAAGTCTTTTCGACAATCGGTCAGTCAACGCCGCCATCCTAGTTTTTTGAACTCGGGACGTATTTGGAACATCCATCGACGCAACGTCTAGCCCTGTCCCCGAACTTGATGTGATACCTGCATAACAGCAATGAGTCCTTCTTCGGCTGTCGTATTTGTTTGTTGTACCTGTTTGAAACGGCAGACACATTGAGTTCAATCACACTTGAAGAACACACAGCGCATGACGGAAGAACTGTGTCCTGTTCAGGGTATAATTGGCTCTCCGCACGGATTTCGGATATTCGTTCGACGGGAGGGTTAGATGTATACATTTGGTCAGCAATTACCGCGAGGTCATTTACCGTCACATTGGCCACAACCGGAAGGAGATTTTGTTGGATCGAGGTCTGAAGAGCTCTCAGCCACCAGACTTTTTTCATGTATTCGTTCGTAGGCATTATGTGTTACACGATTGCCGAATGGAAAATCGCTTCCAGATCAATCAAAATCTCCGATGGCTTCTTGTGCGCGATGTTTTTCAACTCGGTCAGACGGTCCAATCGTTCAAGGGTTGACGGCTGGCGAGTTCGGATGAGTTTCTGTTTCAGTTTCTCGTAGTCGCCTGGATTGAACTGACCTTGCTGAGCTATTTCGCGAACACGGATTGCAGCACTCTCCGGCAGGACAGCCAGGACTTTGTAGAACCTCCTTTGCTCGGTGGTGATGTTGGCATTTTTGAATTGGGCTCCAACTTTGTAGAACCACGCATCAGGATTCTGCGCCCAGAACGTCGGCAACGTCAAAGCAACCGATGCCATGCTGTTTGTGAGAGCTTGGACGGTGTCCGTACTTGGAAGATTCTTTTCGTCGACACCAAGCATGATGAGTTTTTTTGACGTGAAAACGTCTTTAAAATGTCTCCAGTAGCCGGTCAAAGGAACTTCGTCCTCCATGCAACGAAATCTAGTCCGCTTTTGCGGGGCTGGATCTCCGCTGACAGGAATCGGATTATCTTGTGGATTGGATCGAAAGATTGCAAATTTACGGGACATTGTTCCGATGAATTCTCGTCCGGAACCGAGCTGAGAAAGAGGTCCCATAGACGATTTCTGCCGACCCACGAAAACCTCCATTCAGCCGCATGAATAAACAATTGTTTCCCAGAATAGGGGAAGGATGGTCGGCTCAAGCAATTGAATGGAAGTAAGACTCTGATGTATATCGGCGACGACACGGACTTTAAGTGACTCAAGACTGCTTGTCCGGGGAATAACCTAGCTCGTAGGGATACCTATCCCTTGCTCTGGTGGAGAAAACCGCAAAAGCTATGCAGGTTTTCTTTATCAACTTTCAGACCGCCTATCAAATAAGTTTCTCGCACTTAGGATTCTGATCGGAGGAGGATCTTGAATCGAACAGGGTTCCGAGTGGAGATCAGCTCGTCTATCCGCAAATTGGAAACGGAGGTTTCGCCGAGATTCGATAGATTATAACGAAGTGTGCAGCTGATGAGTCTCCGAAGAGGACTTCATTCCTTGGTGTTCGCCATGAGACCGAAGACAAGTAGCATCATGCGAATAAAGCGGAAAGCTAGAGTAGCTGAAAATATAGGGCAGTCTGAAGCTGCTGCGAAACGGCCGAAAACATCAACGGAAAGATCCCGCGGGAATCGTCGTGCAATGGCCCAGTCACCAAAGGCCAACACGGGAGATCTTGGTACGCTGAGTTCGATCCCTGAAGATGGAAATGTGAGTCGGCAAGAATCGGTACATTTCATGCGTCAGGATAGCGATAGTCGAAACGAGGTGGGTGTCCACAGAAATATTGCTGCGAAATTCGATGGAGGTACCGAATGCACGAGGAATGCGGCTTACGAATATAGGTGGAAAAGAGCGACCCAGCGATTCAAAAATATGTTCCTTCACAACGAGTTCGGGCATAAATGCGATGTCTGTGATCGCCTCTGGTTTCTCCGCGATCTCAAAACAGCGAATCCTAGAATGGCGATGTTTCTGCGAGACCATTTCGAGAACGAGGATACCACGGTCTTCAAGCTATGTGGTGATTGTTTCAGAGTGTGTCGGAGTGTGTGGGTCTGGGGAAATTCTGCCCCCAAACGCCAACTTCATCGGGACGGCTCGCGACTCGTAGACAACTTCGAGGCTCCCATTCTCCGCATTGTGGGGGTTTAGATCATCGCCCGTGCTCCCTCAAAATGCGTAAAAACGTTTTCCAGAGCAGCCCCGGGAACCGGTTGCGGTTCGGAATGAGAGAGGTCACGGAAGAAGATGTCCCTAGCTCTTAGAAAAGACGGTGAATGGTGACTTCAAGACTCCATCTTTCCGTGACGGGGATCAGAATCAGAATGCTGAACGATTTTATTATGATTATATTATTGAAAGATAATGAGCAGGTATATGAATGGATTATATTATATAACATTATTCAGATCATATGAAAGGTTTGAGGTCGTGAATACTCATGATCGTTGCAGTTGTTGTACATCATTGCTTCATGCTGATCGTTGATTTGCGAGTAACGTTTCCTTCCGATATCTTCACGGATCCGTCTCATCATTCTCTGATTCCGTTCCGTCCCCGGATGGCAGGAAGAGATTCTGTAGATTCGCCGCGGGACGAGGAATACTACCAAGATACCTCGCATGCGACAAATAGAAAACAGCTGCTGCCACGTGTGCACAACAGCCCACCGTTCGATTGCCGTTCGGGCATTCGCACCAATATTCTGCGATTCCGTCGATTGAGTGTTTATTAGCCTGGTAACGAATATATATCCTGTAAGTTTTCCTGTTCACGTGGCGAGATCTCACTTGAAGCTGGACGACATCGCGCTCTTCCTTGACGAACTTCATCTCGATGTCATCCGCGTCGTTCATCATCTCCGCCAGATAGGACTTCGCGAGATTGATTTGGTAGGGCCCAGAAACGAATAGATGTAGCTGCCGTTCATTCAACATCGGGAAGTCGGTGAGGTCGGAGGCCGAGATATTCTGGAGAAGAGAACGGCGACGATTCCATCCTTCGGACTCTACCCGCGGTCCGAGAAGGTTCGGCGTGTTGATGCGTTGCTCGATACGATCTACGACAACCTCGGTCCATTCGCCGCTGCTCCAAGATCGAGGTCCATATTCATTCTCGAGGTATCCTACGATGCGACACAGAGACTTGACCTTGGGGAGCAGCTTGTTATCCATGCTGTGGTGTAGAAGCTTGTACCTCTGCGCGACGCGACCGTGTATTGCCTCCACAATCCAACGCACCTTCGTGACCAAGCGCGACCTGTTCGCCTCATCAGAGGGGAGTTGCTTCCGGTTCCCCTTCATTGCCGGCATCTCCACCCGAAATCCCATCTCCTCCAGACGCTTCGAAGCGTCCCGGAAACCTCGGTCGACTATCAACACATCACCTTGGGTCAGTAAAGATGTCAGAGCCTCATTCTTCAGAACGTCGAGAGCAATTGTGGCATCATTATCAGTTCCTTTGTATGGACCCGCGAAATCAACTATGAGCCCATTCGTCGTGCATATGGTGAATGGCTTGCAGAGAGGAACTTTCTTCTGTCCGGAGTATTCACCACGCTGAAAGGCGTTGTTGGAACTCTTCTGGTGTCGAATGTAGGTCCCATCGAGCACCAGGGCCACCTGATTATCACGCAAGTTCAGCAATCTTCTAGCTGAGTCGGTCGTGTTTGTCAGGAGAACCTGGCGATCGAGAGCTTGGGGCCCGAAGTTTCCTGGGAGGATATCTCTTTCGAAAGCTTGAAGCACTCTCGAGAAGCCGATTGAGACCTTCTTACGGTCGCTCAAGCCTAGCAAGCTCGCGATCACGTCATTCGAGTTACCTGTACGCAACTTGAAAAAGAATATGAAGAGGGCCTGCGAATCTGTCATAGACCTGGTACTCTCCAGGGATGGTAAGCCACTTCGTATCCTGAGGAGATCCTGGCGTGAGAATCCCATTAGATTTTTGAGCTGGTCATCAGATAACAAGATGTTCCCAAGGTCCCTCACTCTACCGGACAGCGAGAGATCATCCGGTCCACGGAAAAGTCTCCGTAGATCCTCAGACTCGACTGACGAGGAGTCGCCTACAAGTCTCAGAATACTGGGATTGATATCTTCGAGTCGATGCAGAGGGCATGTCCGACTTCCCTTCGGCACGAATATACGGGCTTCGTTGAAGATCCTATATCGTCCTGAGAAAGTCACAGAACGAAGGCGACTTGAGGCCGGGCAAGCAACACAGCGCCTATGGGAAGAGGTCGTTCGAGGAAAGCCTAATTCCACCTGAGCGGTTTCTGACAGACTCGTTCCGAAGTCATCTCCTGAAGCTGACGGGGGCGTCGCGCGAGGTTCCGTCATCATACGGCATCTGCCACACACATGATCATTGACGTGCACCGGGAGATGGTAGAAGGAAGAGAAACGGCTTGCCTCTTGCTGGGTAGATACTTGTCTTGATCTGCCTCTCACATTGTGAACTCCCTCAGCACACATTGAACATCTTTGGGTTGGCATCGTTCTCCTAGATCTCCGAGCCTCGGGAGATTTTCCCAGGAGGAAATTCGAGAGGGTGAAAATCACCAAACGTCGTTGCACAGAGGTGGATTCGAATGACTCTACGAGTAACGCTTCTCAACGGTTTCGGGGAAGTTTGAATACAAAGTAGTTACGCGCCATGTGGATTGTTTTCCTCGCGGCGCGGCCGCGAGTGCAAAGCTACTAATTGAGAATTTGAATACTGGGATTTCTAGAGTTACCCGATCATCCTGCTCCCAGATTCAGCTTGTTTCTCTCGTCCCTCCTCTTAGCTCTCCGCGAGGGACCCAAGGGTCTGTCGGCGGTGAGCGAGGTACCAGGATTTGGTAGGCCATGGCCTGGAAGCCGATTCGGCATTCACCCCGGAAGAATGGGAACCGTTGGAACCATGGAAACCATCCTCGAAATGAACGGCTGCAGGGATCGAAGCCACGCTGCTTCCCGCACCATACAAAGTGGGTTGCGCGAATCTGTATTTGATGTGCAGACCGCTCTAAGCACTCGCCTATCCGTCGGCCAAACGCTGGTTGGTCTTTCCGACTCCCATCCGAAAAACACGGAGCCGATTGAAAAAGAAGCGGAGGAATGCGGAAATCGATCACGTCTGATAAGCAAGGAATACTCGAAGCCCTAGGCTGACAGAGTGGGAAACCAAGGTATCGCGTAGAGAAAAAGAAGAGGCGCTTCATATGTATCTCGGGCCGCCGCCGTTTTCGAGAAAGGTGGACGAGAAGAAGAGACTTATTTCGGCATTGACGGAGACCGCAGGGTGCCATCGGTGTCAGGACTATGCGGAGGTTATTCTAATAATGAATTAACTATCGCAAGAGGCTCATCTTCGATGTGGTTCCTGGGGGCAGAATTTCCCCACGTTCTCCCCAGACCCTTTGAAATCCCACCTCTCAGTAAGACCAATGGATATCAATATCCAGCGAAGCCGAGGTACTTGCCGATCCTCTATCGGAACGTCTCTTGTCACCGCGGATCATATATGCAGATCACCACATATGCAGATCCGTCGTTTACGTCGTAATGGTTGCTACGGCATAGTCGGGCAAGTCATAAACGTGCCCGTCGATGTGAATACCATGGTTCTGTCATTGCCACGGTCACTTGATGACGACTATGCTTTTAACGTGAATCTCAAAAAGAACATCATTCACAAGTCTTCGTATTTGAGTGGCTTCGTGAAAAAATCAACCGTGAAATCTTGGCTTCAGTTCCTGATCGACCAACCGCTATACAGATACTATGGTATAACTGTAGATTTCTCGAAGCTCAATGAGTCTGTCCCCTCTGCCGAGTCTGCCCGTGTTTCGGAAACTGATTTCGATATCGAGGAACTCAATACGGTCACAGAACCGGAATCGGGGATTTTGAATGCACTTCAGCAGA